TCACTTTTGCAAACTTCCTGTCAGTTACTAATCTCAGTCTTGCTGACACTAACCTCCCTTGGTTTTATTTCGTCTGGTGATTTCCGTGAATCAGCTGATTAATATCGTTATATATATATATATATATATATATATATACATATATTGTCCTTTATATCTTATTTTTTTATTGTACATATTGTTTAAATAATGTCTCCTATTCGAATGAGCCTACTGTCTCAAACGCACAAACTTGACAGGCAAGTTGCATACGATTTTTTGTGAACACCAGGCTTATTGATTTCTTCTTTATTCAAACCAAAAGGAAAGAAATCGAGTGTTACTTCATCAGATTCAATTTGAACTATGCGTATATGCAATAAGCGGTTGCAGTCTCTGTCGTTTAAGCAATCTGTATGAAGAAGAACCGACTACTGCAGTCCAGAGTATTTTGAACACCACAAGACGTGTGTCCACATATAGCGCAATTGCTGTGACGTAATAATAATACTACTAAACACAACTGTACACCGACTTCTCGGTGCATTTCTTCTCAATCGGACAAGCTGATTACATCATTTCCTGTTTTTGGTCTCTCATTGATCGACAGAATAAGACGGCTGATTGTCGGTTATGGAGTATGTGCTTGATTAGTCTGTCAACATTTCACCTATATCAGTGACCTGTCAACGAGTTCTCTAGCCGAATTATTTTATTACGCTGACCACCTAGCCCTTTGCCAAGCAATTTCGGTGCCTGAGGATATTCTAAATTTCTCAAACAATCTGTCGCATACCCACGAATTTTTCCTTCGTTCTCGACTATCTCTTAATTTATCCAAGTGCTTCGAATAGACTTTCTCCCTCTCTTGATCTATTTATCCCGCTTACCCTTCAGTGATAAACATAGATCCCCTAAATAGAGCAGATTCTGTGAAGTTACAATTATCACAAACTTAAAAAACGAAATGCCATATTTTCAACTGATTAAAAAAATGCTTGGATTATCTTTCCAACTTGGAAGACTTAGATAGTTTAACGCCAAGCAAAAACTCATTTCGCATTTTGTTTATCAATGTGTTTACCTGCTCTTCCTTATTGTTCCCCGGTGTTTTTTGCTGGTTTATTAAAAAAAGACTTCAAAATTCTTCGTCCAGTTTTGTCGATAATCAGTCGTGTGTCTTTTAAATCCAATAACTACCTATCTAAAAACAAGTGTGTGGACTTCACTTGTCCGCATGTTAAAAATTTGTGCGGGAAATCATATATCACCCCACTCACCCGTTACATGGTGATCAATGCAGATTCCACTTTCATTCATCTACGCGTTCTACATATCGTTAATTACCCTCTTACCTCAAACTGTACAGAAATTCTGCAATCCCCTATCTCACCAAAATCCATGTAAACCGACAGCACGTTCCTTCCTTTGATGAGATTATTGACTATTTTTGACCGAGATGCGGACATCTGTCTATGCTGAGGTCTATACAAATAAAAGCAAAAAGTCAAATTCAATCTGAGTGAGTTTGATGAACGCGGATTTAGCAAATGTTCGAATTTCCGCAAAATTCAACGAATACATTCTAATCAAAACAGACATTGGACTAAGTGAGTTATCTTCATATTTGGATGCCTTAAAAACACGGGAGCTACGTTTAGAAAGGCATTTTTTATTTACTCAAAACTTCCCCCAGATCACAAAACAAAGGAGTTGGATCTCTGTCATTTTGGATGATTGAATGAATTCATGACAAAACGAGTCTTACTCGGTCACTGGTGACAGTAATTATCATCATCATCATCATCATCATCATCATCATCACCATCATCATCATCATCATCCGAATCATCATCATCATCATTAAACAGTGCGATGCAGTGGAGCGAAGTTCACTCATCTCTGTCAAACTCATAATGCAAATAACTTCAGTGAGAATGTGCTAGATGAACAGTGATGTGGCCTCCTTTGGGGGACGGGGAAACAAAGTGAATTTCTATTGGTCCGTTCAAACATTTCGGTTTGGTCTGGAGCAGCAGCATGGACTCCACTGCAGTCAGTTTGCTGGCAAGTCCTTCACCATCCCTAACCAACCGGTTACACAATCTTTGGATCCCAACCTGGAGGACCACATACACCTACTCTACTCAATCGCTCTGTGTATTTCTTCATGACTCATCTCCACGTCATCTGTTGACCTTCGTGTGGTTTCCTCGAATCCGGAGCGACAACTGCGGTAGGTGACCGCTGGGCATAAGCAAAATATGTATTCAACTGAATTCGATGTGGTGGCCAGTTTTTCCTTGATACAGTCCCGAGCACACGATTACGTACATCTAGGTTACTCACCCGCTCAGTACAACACACCTAGCCTAGACTATGTAATCGTCTATTGTCAAAAACCACCAAGGAATGGATATTTTCTACTCACAAATTCAAGGAGTCACCAATATGAAGCAAAGGTGAACGCACGACAGCACATTATATACGAGACTTTTTGACTGTTATCTAGTTTCGTAAAAAGGACTATACGAAATTGCAACAACATATTATATGTGCAAAGCGTATGCCTAATCGAGCAACAGAATTGCTCAATCTGTCAAGTGCGCTTCGCACGTCCTCCACACACTTGAACAGATGAGCAATGTTCTCCTAATGCTCAAATCCCACAGCCCGATCAATAAATACCAATAGTGTGTTTGTCAGTATTTCATCAAGGACAAAGTTAAATGGGATTTTTTTGACACACACTGAGTGATTCGCAGCAAAACCCCATAATCCAGATGTCGCCCTTGCTGAACACTGCTGTTGGGTTCCAACGACCAGCTTATATCGCCGTTGACCTTTACGGTTTTCCGGAAATGCGCGAGTGAGCGGTGAGTCAAAATGTTTGCAGACTTCAATGGCATTCCTCTGTTTGGAAGGTCGAATCCATCAGAACTTCGCGGTAAGCTATATCGAGATCTTCATTTAGGTTCCGGAAAAAATGTGTTACCTATTTGACAATATGTGTGTTTGTGTGATGTAACTGGAGAGCTTGACGCAAAGTGAACAAATTGTCCACACAACTGCCACCTGATCCGAATCGTGCTTGATTTTTGCAGATATTCGTCTCCCGTCGTGAAGCGAAACGTTGAACTATGACGGAGGCATATATTCTGGTAATGACTGCTCTCACGGTGGTTTTCACAGTCTGCAAGATACGTTCTTGAAAATGACAACGATCAGTCATTTGATCCAATATGATGGAATGCACTGTTGCAACCAAATATTACGCAGTAAAACAATGGTAGAGTTTACCAAGTCATAACCACCCATCATGGGAGAAAACCTATCCGTTCATGGTGATTTTCCATTTTTAGGGTCTGAATGCAAGGTCGTACTTCTGTTTATGTGAGATTTTCACATAGCACTAACCACGGTGCCTCAGCTACAACAGACGAGATAGTCTAGTAACAGCCAGACCGGCTTAAATANTAGCTTGTCCACTTTTGTTGCAGATTGTTTCATTAACTGTGGTTCGCCGACTTCTCGTGTTGTCTATCATTTGGAGCGGTCATGGATTATTTCCCGAAGTAGCTAGTACTTCCATTTACCAAGTGATCTTCGCTCACCAGTTTTCCAAGTCTTTCAAAAGGGCTCTTCACAAGCTAACTTGCAGCCTCCATCTACCCCCGCTGTAATCCCAGGCAGTCGGGATTTATTGCCTTACCTCCAACAGTGCCACTACCTCATCAGATATTCATTACCACACACACGAGCTTGAGACTGAGATCCGCAAGCAGCATTCATTGCGGAATGCATGCATAGCTCGTCTCGATTGATCCTATTCTTAATTCTACACAAGCACTTGGCAGTGCGTTTGACTCATGCTCTAGCTCAACTTAATAGAGATCACCAACTGCTGGGACAGCAGATTTATATCGGTGCAGTGATTCATCCGAATTAGTTTGTAGAACACGTCGTTTTGTGCATCAGAACTGCAGTTGGTTGGCGAGAGGATGAACCAATTCCTTTGGTTGTTGCTTATTTTACGAGAGCTGATTAATCTCTGGTGCCGCATAGCGCTTAAGCGGCAGGGATTTGATCGATCAGTGAAATTTCGACTATTATTTAGTACTGAGTACAAGAACCTACTTCACATTGACCTCCTGAGCAATCTTCAACGTCACCTGATGGACGAAGGATTTATCTCGTGGATAAATCCGGAGCACTTCAGTGGATTTACTCATGGAGTCCTGGATTCGCTGCTCGGATACATAGAAGATATCAGTCCGCAAAAAGTCTAATATACGCATCAGACACCTTCCTCAGAATTGTCGCGTTGATAGTGTTGATAGGTAGACTACTTACAGTGGTATTTGACAATGTGCTTTGACAATTGCTAAGCAAATTGTCTGACAGAATACTGCAGGTCGAAAGAAGTGGCAAAGGTCGAGGGTTGGATATGGAAGACAAAGAATTATATAATTGCTACTTTTTCTGTGCATTAGTCTACTTATCACCATTGATCCAAATCGATGCAATGAGTAACATGGTCCTACTTGTCCTGTGCGACGACCGATGCAGTATGGAGCATTTTGCAGTTTGTGTATACATTTGAGTTTGATGGACGGGTACTCTCAGGGTGTCCAGTCATCAAGCAGGAGAAGTTTAGGGTTCTCAACCAAAGCCGTTGCATTTTCGACAAGAACCTGACCCAATGCAGGCGGGAATAGCTACGTGGAGGCCCATTTACTTAGATCACTTACTTCACCACTCTTTTCTACCGACTGAGACAACGACTCGAGTCGAACCCTCAACCTGGAGGACTAGGAGGCAGAACTTTGTCTGACCTCTGTCCTCTGACTTTCCAGGCATGATGAGACCTTTAGGGTTTATTAAAGCCAACCTGTGTAACCCGTTGGGTCATATATGTAAATGCACACATTATTACTCCTACCACGTCAAGTTGCCGGTCTCTCTCTGTGATGACAGACAACGTTTATGGGAAATAGATCAGATCATTTATCCCCACCGCCAAAGGCAGCGCAAACGATGTGGTCGGTTGCCATAAGATGTTTCGCAAAACACACAAATGTCGTTCAAGCCATTATT